TTCTAGAAGGCGAAAAAAATTCACCAATAACAGTATTATAGTACAGTATAATTTAGACTGAAAAAACCAAACGGCCTGCATATTGCTTCCGCAACATTCCTTTTTTTTTAGTTGGAAAAAACTGCCTCGTTCTAATAAAATCGATTGCCTTCTGTGCAGTTTGAGCTGACATTGTCAAATTTCAGCACCAAACTTCAAAGATTCTTCGACCTTCTTCAAACTTATACAAGTCCTCAACATCGCACGGTATCAAACCCCGACACAATCTCAAATGTAACTTCAGGAAGAAATCTACCGACATGTTTCCTTTTAGGGTAAATTTCAGAAAACTACCATGAACATTGGAGGATTTTGCACAAAACTAACATAAACTTTTTCCATTAGTGAAGACTAAATTTCTTTTTAATCAGAATCAGTCACCTTCTCATTTCTAAGGTTTGAACTGATACTGTTGAAATTCAGCAACAACCTTTGAAGAGACTTCCTCGACCTCGTTCTTCAATCTCCTCCAAGTCCTCAACAGACCAGGACTGTGTCAACCCTCGGTATAAAGTCTCAAAAGTGATTCTTTTTGGAAAAGTCTACCATGGGGTGGATTAAAGGAACTATGATCAGTTCGGGGGCTTTTCCACGGAACTACCGTAAACTTTTTCTACTGAAGAAAACAACCTTCTTTGAAAACAAATCCAACTACCTCTTGTAAGGTTTGAACTGATACTGTTGAAATTCAGCACCAAACTTCAAAGACTCCTCCTCAACCTTGTTCTTCAACCTCCTCCAAGTCCTCAACATATTAGACTGTATCAATCCTCGATATAAACTCTCAAAAGTGACTTTTTGTGGAAGAAAACCCTTCTCAATCATCTCCATGAAGTACTCACATGCCTCCCTCCACTTCTGCTTCTCACATAGTCCATGAATCAACAGAGTGTATGAATCTAAATCAGGACCAACCTTGTTCTCCTTCATATCATTCCATAATTCCAAAATTATCTCCATTCCATCTAGCCGTGAAAACATTCCAATCAATATGTTGTATGTGTGTATATCTGGCTGACCAGTGTCCTTCATTTTCTTGTATAATTTTATAGCACTCTTTGCATCTTTCCTTCCTCGATACTCCTTAAAGAAGCAATTATATGTAGCTGCTGATGGGCATACACCATTTTTGGCCATTTCATCAAGTAATACCTCTGCATCTTCCAATCTCCCACATGAAGCTAAACACTTGACAACTGAAG